TAACTTCAGTTATTATAGACATTGTTTTTAAATGACTAGTTACTTATTATGTTATATTCTTACATTCAAACTAAAATCTGTTGCATGTTAAGTTATGTAATATTATCTTAGATTTAAGTTTATTATCTAGTAAATTGTTGCATTATTAAGTACAATTATTATATATATTGTTTATCATACGTATTTTCTTGACATTCCTCATGCTTTTGGTTCCTCTCTGCCTGGTTTTCCAGGGGTCAATTAAAAGGAGGACGCAGGCATTTGTTATTGAGAATTTAAAAACCTGCATGTTGGCCACAGCCCAGAAAACACGATCCATCCTGAAATCAGATGATCATGACACATTCTTGACAAACACTCTGTAATGTTTCACCTTACGGTTTCTTTACCAACATCCCTTACTCAGCAGAGATGTCGTGTACTTGTGGCTGAATAACACAAAATAATCAAAGCAACAAGCCCCTGCACGTCACAAACGGTAACTCTGACTTGAAATGAATTTGTGGCTACAAACTGTAGGAGGTCTTCACTTAATTAGACACTGCAGACACTCCAGGCACTGTAACATGAGACTTCATCTCTCTCTCTCTGAAGATGTGCATTGTAATTATGTAATAAAAGTAATACATTATCAACACAGATTTTTCTAAAAGGATTTGTAGCAGCTTTATTTGATATGACTGCTTCTGTCACCGGAGGAAAATATAAAGTGTGTGATGAGAGGTAGCAGATGATTCACTCTGAGTGGTTTCCAGATAAGTCAGGACATGCTGCAGTTTTTTAGAAAAGCTAGTTAGTTTTATAACAAAGATTTTATGATGAGAATAAGAATGTTCTCATTACTTTGTAGTCATGTTAAAATACTAAAACCGAGATAGTACAGTAATCATATTATTTATTATGTTAGCATAAAAGAGATCTGTTCTCAAGTCAACGTTTTACTACATGATTAGCACGACTCTGGTTTCCACATATTCATCACAGTTGCACAGAAGGACATGATTTTCCAAAGACTCATTATTTTCAGCAGCTGCTGAGCTTGTAAATGATTCTTCTTATCTAGCAGAACGTATCAACTCAGTTTTTCCTCTGACTGAGTGACTCAGAATCGGTCACGTCTCGGTCAACAATAATCAGTCAGTGGTTTCACAATCAGTATGAGTCTGATGGGACAGGCTGACATGTGAGGGTGGCAGAGTTGACAGCAATTTAAATGATGCAATTCATGTTGACTAATTTTTCTGACTGTGAGACAATTTACCTTACATTTCATTTCCTTTAGCTGACGCTTTTATCCAACGCGATTTACAATAAGTTGTTACAGTTACATATGTTTAGTCCTGGAGATATTTAAACAAAAGCAGCTATACATCTGGACCTGTTCTACTCGCCCCTGAGAAGCAATCTGAGCCTGAAACCGACCTGATCAATAGGATTAAGGGGACTATCTAGACTAGTGTATAGATGTTCTGTATTTCATATTCCTCACCCCATCATGTTGTTTGTGTCAGGGCTGTTTTGCCAGAAGTGCGTCCACTGTTCTCAAAAACAAAACTGTTGTGGAACTGCAGCTGCAGAAAAAGCGAGAACAAGGAGTACAATGAAATAATGACAGTCTCCCAGATGTCTGTGCTTCTCATTTACCCAAACACGTGGGTGTTTTTCCACACACCTGCTGCTACAATAACCACCGCAAAACATTTCAGATGATTGTTGACGCACTCCATTCAAGTGTGTGCTGCCAGCACGCCCATTCTTGTTTACTATCAGCAGCGCTCATCCTACATGTTCCTGGAACGGGCGAAATGCTCCAGAGAGATGGAGATGGATACGTGTCCACTCCTCATAGGGGTCAGGGGAGCAGACCTCCACCCTGACACAGTGCAGCTGGGATTCCTGGACTTGCTGCGCAGCTCGAGAAAGAGAGGGATTGTTTGTCAAGATGACTGTTTGTGTGTGTGTGTGTGTGTGTGTGT